AACCCTACTTGGGATTAAGCGTGTCAGAAAATGAATGTATGGATGTATGGTGGTTGTCTGAGGTCAGAAACTCTTCTGAGCATTAATGGGTAACAAAGTAGGTTTTGCTTAAATCATAATGATTAACGTCCTAAAATTTGATTTTGTTTCATTTGACAGAAACATGCATGGATGAAGCTGTTTATAATTAGCTTTACTCAGATGGTTAAGCCTCATTTTTCAGAATTGAAAACTGAATTATCTTTGCGTTTTTTATATGCATCTATATGTCTCACATATGTTTTTCCCTCCAAGCGGATAGCTTTATGAAAATGTTTGATGTATGTGTATGGATAATGAGTTAATTAATCTTCCAGACCATACATTATAATTAACTTCCACACTTTGTCTGTAATTACTATATTTGGTTATTCTTCAAAATGTTGTAATTCAAAAATTACAATGCCATCTGTTTTCTGGATCATGTGTGTTCTGTAAAATTTTGGAGCAGCACAACTTTAAATGAGCAATTAGCAATAATTCAATAGTGTATATAGAAAGAACTAAAAAATGGTGGTGTGAAGAACTAAATGAATCTTCTTGGATAAAAAATGATATAACATCACACATTATCTATCTGTGTCGTTCTACATTCTCTTGTCTACAAACCAGGCTGGCTTCACATGTATTTATGTTCATGTGAATAGCGGCCTCTCTCAGCTAAGCCCATAAACTGCCAATACTAAAGCTGTGTAAGAGCAACTGACTTAGATTTCTTTTATGGGAAAGCTGCTGATATTTCCGTCGTAGTGCAATGACCTTATGAACTAAACAGTCTTCTAACATAATCATTTCCAAGCGTGCAACCTTTGATGCAAAGTGTGAAATCCATTGTTCATAGCATAACTACTTTGCTATTTCCCAAAATAAAGTTATCTTGCTAATGGTGTTATAAAGTTAGGAGTTACTTAATTCTTCTCTAACATGTTCTTCCAATTGGCACAGACAGTCAACAGCCCACATAGTGGTGAAGTGTTGCTTTAATGGCGTAACGACACAACAATAGGCCCGTAAGCAACATTATCTGGGTGGGCCCCATATAAGTACCTGTTTTTGCTATCCATCGTCACTAACACATTGTACATTATGATTTTAATCGACGCTCTGGATTACCCATAATTCCAAGTCGTGTGGTAAAAAATAAAATACATCATTCTTTTAAGATCTTTATTGCTGTTTGAAACATAATATATGAGTGTATATTTTACGAACCGTCTAATGAACTATACACAGTTAGTAACATAGTAATTAAAAGTACCACAGTCTGCTTTGCTATTGGTGTCGTGTTAAAACGACTCACCATCATGTTGAAATCTTGCATGTGTTGGAGTATAAATAAGGTCTGGTCAGTTAACCTAGTATCAGGTGGGTTTAAGTGGAATTTTTCGCACCATTACGTCTGCAAAGAGACGTCCTAGTGCACAATTGCGTAGGGGACCAATCAGTGACTGGGCCCCTAAGCATCTGCAGTACCTGCTTACCGATATTTACGCTATTGTGTTGCTTATAATACCTTTAAACAGTAGTTGTATTTTTGTTGTGTTTTCTCTTTTCCTTTAGAACAGCTACTGAAAACCCTTTACTCTGTCGCCAACAGTTTTTCATCGTACTGCTGATAATTCTTCTGACAGAGCTGATACTTCTTACCCTCTTCTTTGTGTACTCCGATAAGGTAAGTTTGCTCTGTTTTATTGGTATATCCTCTGCTGTTCTCTTTTTCTCTGATGATTTATTGAAGATGCTACAACACTGAACTATAATGTACAAGTTAACCCATAATAACAGTTGCTGTCAAAGTACGTGCAATTCTTAAAAATGAATTAGTTAACACTCATATTTCTCCAACTAGACAGCTAAACTGTCACTCCAGTTAATGTCACTTCTTCTGTCCCATTTGCTTCCATAATTGTTTCCAGTTCTGTTTTTTTTTCCACAGCTAAGTTATTAATTAAGCTTCTTTTATGACCATACATTCCTGCTTTATGTGTAATAGAGAGCAAAATGAAAAGCTGTTTTTAAGGACCTTTTAATAGTGGCCACAACTAAAACACTAAGTGTTTGGTCTTAGTTTTTTTTTTTTGTTTGTTTTTTTTTTTAAAGGGGGGAGGGAAAAATGAGTACAGTCAAAAATGTCATATGAAGATAATCAGTCTTGTCAATAGGTGTTTTTTTTATGTCTTTAAATAGAGGAATGCAAAGCTGCAGCTTGATTATTCTGCTCTATACCTAAACTCAAAGCTGGACTCCCTCCCTGCCAGCAGTAGGCTCCAGCATAGTAGCAACTAAGCAAGAGTGCAGAAACAAAAACTTAAATAACCTCACTTGTTAGAGTATGAGTCTGCATGTTTAACTTTTTCACTGTCAGTAACAGATGCTTATAATAACAGTTATCTGTGTATGACAAGCTGAAACAGAACCCACCCAAACGCCAAGCTCTTGACTTTGAGGAGAAATATTGCAGCTTTTTTTTTTGTATAGTGGAGCTAAAGCTTACAGCCTTGAAGATCTGTCATTTGTTGAAAAACATAGTTAAAAAAAAAAAAAGTTCATACCACTTGTCACAGCACTTATTTGATCATTATCGAAATCATTTTTTGAATAAATACAGATTTTTCTGAAATGTAAGCACCAAAAAATGAATGCACCTGACAACATGTGATTTGTTTGGAAGCAGAGAGTCTGGGAACTTTTAACTAGACACGATGTTATGACTTTAAAAAGGTTTTTCTAATGAAAACCCGATGCAGTCAGAACATCTCTGCAGAGTTGCAGGAGCGTGACGATACTGAGTGCAGGCTGCTCTCAGCAGGCAGCATTTCTGAAGCTTGGCCTGAGCAACAGGCTTGGATCACTCATCTGTGGTCAGAGATGAGATCAACAAACAGGTCCAAGTAGCCTGGCAAGACTTGTGATTGAAACACAGTTCCTGGTCTTGGTCTAGAAATCAAATGCCAAATCAAATGTCCATCAGTGGCTTGGCAAAAGAGGGAATTCCAGGTCCAATTTTTATGAAAAACATAGAAAGAAGCATGAAAAATACTAGCTCTAGCTTTTAATAATCTGACTCCGTCTTGTTGTTTGATGATATTGAAAAGAGCAGGAAACAGGTGTTTTGAATAAGTTTGACTGCAGAGCAGCAGAAGCAGGCCTGTAGGTGCTGTCCATAAAGGTTAACAGGCAGCAGAGGTTTGAGGAGTGGCAGGAAGAAGATAGCAGACAGAAGTAAGGATAAATACTAAATAATGATAACATATAAACAGGTCTGGCTTTGCTTTGTGTTAGGGCTGTCAAACAATTCAAATTTTTAATCTAATTAATCACAAGGTTTCGTGAATTAATTTCGATCAATCACTAGCCTAAATATTATTGAAAAATACACATGTTCTGTGTACTGTTTTCAAAACAGAATGATAAGCAAGATGGGTATTACATTTAGTTTTATTAAAGACAAATCCAAAAAAAGAATTTAATTCTCAACAATTTTGGCAACTTAGCCATTGCTTTTTTTTTTTTTTTTTTTAGCAAATACAGGATGGGTGAATTGAACATTTTTCGTTAAAAAACAAACAACTTGACTTTTAAACAATTACATTAGGTCATTTTACCTATTATTTTTTCATCTTTTAGCCAGTTGTTAAGGCAAACTAACTGGTTGACATTTTCAGAATGTAAAGCGGACCGTTACTTAATGCCCTGCGTTAGGTGAGGGTGGTGTGACGCATGCCAGTCGTAATACCTGAAGTTGAAGCCCAAGCAAATGAATGCTTGGCGTTAAGATGATATTTAAGGCTCGGGGTGCTTCGGTGAAATGAAAAGTCCTTCTTGCAGTATGAGCAAACCACAACATGTTTATTTATTTTCCCGTCTTAGTTTTTTTTATACTCAAACTGTCCATCCAGCGGGCCAACGGGTTCTTCTGATTCCTTCATCTCGCTCATGTTGGACAATTGATTTGTGGGTAAAACAGGGCGGGACTGCGTTAGTGTTAAAAAAAAAAAATATTGCGTTAATTCCAGAAATTAATCATCTTGCGTTAACGCGTTAATTTTGACAGCCCTACTTTGTATATAAGAGTTTGCCTATGTTAGGCTATCACATTTTGCATGTGTTACACCAGTGTGATAACCCAGCTCAAAAGCCTTATCAAAGAAAGGGGGACTGTGGTCAGAAAATTTCGATTTCTCATATTTCATATATTAATTTATCCTATTTACTATCTATAAAAGTTTTCGCTTAGTCTGTTTCGCCTGCACGGCCACACAATTCCCCTGCTTGAGGGTGTTTGTACGTAGACCAGACATAGCTTCTTTCCAAAACAAGCCAGATTCTTTCTCAACAATTATTCTGAACATATTACTGTTTAACCAAAGTGTCAGTAATTTGTTTTGACTCTGACTACTTTCCATTATTGTAAGTAAAGGGAACAGGAACACACTCTGCCCAGGCAGAAAAGGGCTGAATACCAAGCAGTAAGGGCTGTATGATGAACTGTTCTTTCTTTGCAAAGATATGAAAATAAAGTGCTGACAGAGTGAAATCCATCAATCTCTGTTTATTTAACTGGGGTGAATAGTTGAATATTTTTTACCCACTACAGGGACACATCTCCCAAACTGGTTTAATTGCATGCATTTATTTATTTAGTTTTTTACAAAAACATATTGTTAGAAAAAGGATCCATCTCTGTGTTGTCAGTTTAAATGTCTAGTGTGTTGACGGTGTGAGTGTAATCAAAAAGACAGGATAAGGTGAAATAGAAACATGCAAAGAGAAGTCCATGTAGCAACCACCTGATTGGTCATTCAAAGTCCAGGGATGAAGGTGATGTTTGGGGCTCTGGTGAGCAGGTATTAATCCAGGAGTCACTAACACAGGAGGGAGAGACAGTACGGCCCCTTTTATTTAATCCGGGATCACTTCGACCCCACATGATCCCTGTGATAAACCAATGGAGAAATGATTAGCCAAACTACACCAGCAGGGGGCCGTCGTGCCAGCTCATTTCTGAAGTTAAACATTTGCCTAGTGGTTAAAATGGTCTGTAGTTCAGATTCCTGAACCACAGTGAGCACCTCCTGTGTAAAGAAGAATGAAGCACAGGGAAGCATTTTGCTTTTTGAAATAAGGAGATGGAAACCTTTTGGCAACATCACTTTCTAACATGCTTCATCGTCTTTTACGAATCGTGTAACATTTACACTGGGCAGTATAACTGAAAACCAGCCAATATATTAAAGGCAAAAATACAGATAATAATGAATCTGTATTACTGGTTGCACAAATCAGCAATTTATCATACTAATACTTTGTATTGTATCAGTTGTCTTTTATTCACTCCGGTCATGATTATAGTCTATCTAAATAATGATGAGTAATGCTCAATTGCAACTTGAATTGTTTCTGTAAAGTGCTTTCAGATTAAACTGGCAGTAGCCAGATTGATGTGTAGAAGTTGAGTTCTATGTTATCAATCTGGGATGGCTGCCGTTCAGTCTGTCTATGAAAAGGTGGGACGGTTAGTACAATACTTCGAGCTGATTGGGTGACGTGCCAGCTAGTACCTGCCTTCAATTAATACGCCATCAGCTAATTGTAGCAATGAATTATGACATTTCGTAAGCTGATAAATCAAACTTTTTGGAAGAAAAGCACAAACATCTCTCCCATCTACAAATGCACAAAGTGCTTTTCTTTGCTCCTTTTTAAACGAGAAATTGTCCCTATTTTAGCTAAAACTGAGTCATTGGGGTATCGACAGGTGAGTCCTCTTGTGTAGAGTCATTCCTACATGTCCCGCCCCAAAAAACACTGCTGCCATGTCATTGGTCCAACTTGCTGGTTGTTACGAGATGGGGGTAATAGCGGGAGTCTTTCAAGATGGATTAGTTATCAGACTGAAAACTCAGATCTCGTGACAATCCAGCTTGCGGCGAAAGGTTATCATGAGATGACATGTTGTGAATTGGTGCTATATAAATAAACTGAAATGAGTTTATTGAATTCAAAGATGGTATTTGAGGTTCATATAAAGGTAAAGGAAGTTCTGAATACCTACAAAATAGAACTCAGTTTCTCAGAGCTACAATATTATATGATGTGGACTACCTTTGACTGCAAAACGAAATCTGAGAAAATAGTTTTGATCCCAAATGGAGAGATTTTGAGCTTTTCCATTGTAGAGTAGTAGGGTTAAAATCAGGATGTAAGATGCTGGCAGAAAAAACATTGAAACTGGATTAAAATAAGTTTTACCCACAACATAAAAGGAAATCATACAAAGGTTACTTTACTTTATTATTAGTGTCCTTTAAACTAATTTGCCTCCAGTTGAGCTTAAGAGAACAAAATAAATGCTGAACAACGTTTTCCTGAATGATATATCATAGTCCGATTTTATACAAATAATTTTTTTAATAGTTCTGATAGACTCTATAGATAATAGAAAAAATCCTTGGTAGCCTAATATATCCGTCCCTTTTCTTAAATGGTTCCCCTTCTTTTAATGAACAAATTAAAGAGGCTCAGCTTTAGATGTATGAAAACTTCAAACTTCAAATGTTAGTGTCTTAAAGCAATAAAAGGCATAGTTGTGACAAACCCATCCCTGTTCCAGTTGTCTTCCAGGGGTCAGAGTTTCTTCCTTTCCTTGTATTTTTAGTATTTTTTGCAGCA